GTAAATGCCCTTTTAAAATGAAGGTAATTTGTGTGTTTAAAAATAAGCAAACAATAGCTAAGCACATGCAGTACTCATAGAGGTGCCATCTTAAAAATGTTTGAGTGTGCCTCAAAATGAAGTAAAAACTGAAGTGAAACAATTCAGGGTTAACAAAACATAACCAGCCCCAAATACAATCTTTTATAGTAGACAAAAAACATGAATGAAAAAATGGTATTTTGTAATTTGCCTTATATACATTTTATTTTCTATAGAATTTAAAATACAAAATCATAAAACAGCTATAAATTTGTGATAATGAGCACACAATATGTAAAAATGTCATTTTGACAACAATACCATAGAGTAAGGTTGACCTACAATAAAGTTTTTTTATGTGATGAAAATCAAATTAGTATTAACTTGAGATAGATTATAATTGTGTTATACCATGATACTACTGATAGACTAAAATGCATAAAATACACATAAATGGGGATTTAAAACAGAAAAAAAATACTACAAAAAAGTATAGACAAGTCAGTAATGAACAAAAATAACTAGGAAGTCCTAAGATACATAAAATAAGAGCCAAAAATGCTAAACCAGTACAACTATATTGAAATTATCTTAAATATGAATGGTTAACATTTATACCTAAAGAAACATGATTAAAAGACAGGCTTCAAATACATGCTGTCTATACAACACATATTTTAGGCTTAGAGTGATATATAGGCAGACAGTGAATGAATGCAAATATATATTTGGTGTCAATAATAAGCAAAAGAAAAATAGGGACAGCTATGTTAATATCAGACCAAAAATAATGAATAAAGAAAGTTAAAAGAGAAAAGAGACATTGTATTGAAATTTTTGTACAAAGAATTTGATCATAGTGGATGTAACTATGTAAAAATTACAAACACATAAAAACCAAACATCAGATTCCTTAAACATATAAATCAAACACTTACAGAAATAAAGAGAAAATAGACAGCTCTATAGTAACAAAAATGCCAATATCCCACTTTCAGTAATGGACAGAAAATCCCATGACACACCAATAAATCAAGGAGTACTGAAGTTAAAGGCAAATTTACATAAACTATGGAACAAATGGACATGATAGACATAAATAGGTGAGTCTGCTCACAATATATCAGAATATAAATGAATTATAGCAATAAAAACATGACAATTCCTTCAAGCCAACAACAGCTGAAACCACTTTAAAATTAATTTGAGAAAGGGGTGGCAAGTTAAACAAACCTAAGATGTATGAAAAAGTCCTATGGAAACCCACTATTTTGTAAGGTAATTTTAAAGGATAATTTAAAAGAGGGGTGGAAGAGTTTGAACAGCAACACTGCATGGATGGGCAATGTCATTCGTAACAGACATGGAAATCCCAGTGCCAAACACTGGATACCCCTCTTCAATTATTAATCAGGAAGGCCCCAGAATCCCTCCAAAAGAGCCCAGTCTATTGCCATTGTTCTTGGTTGTCCAGTATACCTAGATGATAAAATCCTATTGGTGATGATAACCCTTTGGTTGCAGGACATAGCAAAATCAAACTGGAATAAACTGGGAAAATGCCTCCCTTCTGTACAGTTCCTGGTGGAGAAAAGGCAGTAAGAGTTTTACCCAGCCCTGGGCCTTGCATACTACAATACTGACCTCTCAGGAAAGAGGTGTCCATTAATGCACTAGTGACATTGCTGTTATGTTCTGGTGTGGCTAGGAAGGGAGCCCTAAGGCCTCACTTCTAGCTAAAGAACTTTTGGCAATTAAAGGCTGGTGGAGGAAGGAGAGTAAGTTTACTTCAGGGATGTGGTTAGTATTAGGTTATCAACCTTCAGAGCATTACCCCATACCAGTAAGGATAAAGTTCATACTTATTGGACTCTGGGTTTTTTATTGTAAAGGACATTAAGGTGGGGATTTGTTGTGGGGCACAGGGGAGTGGGAGAGAGAACTTATGTTGGGCATGCATTGTATACATGTATGAAATTTTCAAGGAATAAATAAAATATTAATGCAATTCATTTCAACAGTCATTTCTTCAAAGGTTTACTAAATGACCAATAAGCACATGAAGAAATTCCCAGTGTTACTAATCAGTGTTTTAGTGATGATTAGGAGAATTAGAACCTTCATGTTGTTGGGAAAAAATGTGAGGTGTAGACAGATAACAGTCTTTCTCAAATTGTTAAGCAGGTGATCCAGCAATTCTATTCATAGGTAGCTACTTAAAAAACATACACTCACCAAACACTAGCTTTAGGAGCATATTCTAATACAAAAAAAGTGAAAACATTTTTACTATGTCGATCCTACCTATCCAAGAACATGGGAGATCCTTCAGTTTTCTGGTATCTTCTTTAATTTCTTTCTTTAAAGACTCAAAATTCTTATGATACAGGTCTTTCACTTTTTGGTTAGCATTACCCCAAGGTAATTTATGTTGTTTGTGGCAATTGTAAAGGGTGATGTTTCTCTGATTTCTTTTTCAGCACATTTATCGTCCATATATAGTAGGACTACTGATTTTTGGGGGTTAATCTTGTATCCTGCCACTTTGCTGAAGGTGTTTATCAGCTGTAGGAGTTCTCTGGTAGAGTTTTTTGGTTCATTTATGTAGACTATCATATCATCTTCAAACAGTGAAAGCTTGACTTCTTCCTTTCCAATTTCTATCCCTTTGATCTCCCTTTGTTGTCTTATTGCTCTAGCTAAAATTTCAAGGACAATATTGAAGAGATATGGAGAGAGTGGACAACCTTGTCTTGTTCCTGATTTTAGAGGAATAGCTTTGAGTTTCTCTCCATTCAGTTTGATGTTGGCTGTTGGCTTACTGTATATTGTTTTTACTATGTTCAAGTATGTTCCTGTTATTCCTGATCTCTCCAGGACTTGTATCGTGAAGGGGTGTTTGATTTTGTCAAAGGCTTTTTCAGCATCTAATGAGATGATCATGTGGTTTTTCTTCTTCAGTTGGTTTATATAGTGGATTACATTGATAGATTTTTGAATGTTTAACCAACCCTGCATCCCGGGGATGAAGCGCCTACATGATCATGGTGGATGATTTTTCTGATATGTTTTTGGAAAAATGTCTGGAGAGCTACAAAGATGACACCAACTAACAATCTAAGCAACAGAGGAGGGGCTATCTTAAATGCCTTCTCCTGATAATGAGATTGATGACTAATTCATATGACATCATATAGCCTTCATCCAACAGTTAGTGGAAGTAGAAGTAGACACCCACAGTTAAACCTAGAACTGAACTGAAATCCAGTTACAGAGGAGGACTGATGAGCAAAGAGGTCCACATCAGGCTGGTGAAACCCACAGAAACAGCTGATCGGAACAAGGGAGAGCTCTCGGTCCCCAGACTGAGCTGGGAAACCAGCATAGGACTGATCCAGACCCCCTGAATCTGGGTGCCAGTGAGGAGACCTTGGAAATCTATAGGACCTCTTGTAGTGGATCAGTACTTATCCCTAGCATAGGAATGGACTTTAGGAGCCCATCCCACATGGAGGGATACTCCTTGAGCCTAGACACAAGGAGGTTGGCCTAGGCCCTATCCCAAAGAATATGAAGATTTTGAAGACCTCCTATGGAAGGCTTCAGCCTCCCTTGGGAGCAGAAAGGATATAGGATAGGTAGGGTGTTAATTTGGGGGGGGGCAGGGGAAGAGGGGAGGGAAAGGGACCTGGGATTGACATGTAAAATAATTTTCTTTCTAATTAAAATTTTAAAAATTAATTTTTTTAAAAAGTGGAAACAACACAAGTTTTCATCAACTGATGAGTAGACAGAAGAATTTGGTATATGCATGCAATGGGGTTTTAAATGGCAACTGAAAGAAAAAATGTGTTTGCAAAAGTTGATCACAGGGACTAGCTGTATCATTCATCTCCATAAAATGTTTACAACAGGCTAATCTGTAGAGAAAAGATGTATGCTTTAGGTTTCTTAAGGCTAGAGGGATGGGACTCTTGCAGAGTGATGGGTAAGTAATGTAATGCTCTGTTTGAAATACTAATAATAAAACAGTCTAAGATAGAGTATAGTAATGGATGCACATGAATCAAAAACATAGAATTGGGTATTTTAAATGGGTAAAATGTGGGTAATATGAATTACATCTCAATAATATGTTATAAGCAGTAGAGATACTTGTCATAATCATTAGGGAAATATAAATTAAGACCATAGTTAGAAACCAACTTAACATCAACTTTGACAACCAATGTATGTGTCTTTTACCTGATAATAACAAGAGGAGAGGAAATGAGGCATTTGCAACATCTATACAGTACTGTGGAGAACACACTATTAAACATCACATCACATTTTATTCTAGTGATTTATCCATGGTATTGGATGGCGGTGGTGGGGGTGTCTGTGTCCCTAAAATCTGAAGTTTCTGAAGAAGTGGTACTTCTGTCTCTCTAGGGACAGGCTCTATGTGTATTGGGGAGTTGTTGCTAACATGTGACAGGAAGTGGGCTGAATTAGAACCACAGCTCCCTCCCCCCATGGAAACAAAGCCTGGATTCTGTCCAGCTGCTGATACCTGCCCAAGAAAGGCTGCATACAAGGTCTGGGACACAGGCTCATCTTTGGTGCTCTCTTAAACCACATAAACCCATTATTAGTAGCACATGGCTAAACCTCATAAACATGGCATCGATTTAAATAGCACTGGACTGTGTTTGATGAAGGTAAACCTAGATGAGCAAGGTTCATTACACTAATTGCATATACTGAGAAATTTCTGATAAGTAAGTCACAATGTTCAGGAAAGATAATCTTGTCCCTTTACAAAGCAGAATATAAATCTAAGCTTTCAAACTGTGATGTAATTTTCTGAGGCCCCCCTAACCACCCTCTTCTGCCCCCTCACCAGGTTCTTGCCATCCCATCTTTTAAAACCAGATGTTAAATGAGGTTGGGAGCCTTTTACTTTGAACAGCAATACAAAAGGCTATGCTACTTACAGTGTTGAGAAGAGGATCCAGCAGGTCTCTCATTTTGAGGTTCTAATTTGGTTTCTGGAGTGATGTGAGACTTTTTGTTGGTATCTTGCAAAAGCATCAAAAACACCTTTTGAAAATCAAAATAAAGGAGATGCATATATTATACATTTTTTCACAAGTTACCCATATTTCCACTTCTTTTGCCTCAATCACCCATTGGGGCCACAACACACATCAAACACACCCTGTTTCATTGATCATTCCCTTAATTAGTGTAACTCTAAGACAGGATGGGACTCTATAATTGATAGGCCTACCATAGGATACAAATCTAACTAAGATGAGATCATGAACCCAGAGCAGCTACACAGGTAAGCAAGGCTGACCAAATCCATTGTACAACTGGATGGGGAAAGGACAGGAAGCAGCAGCTATGTTCAAGTCAACTTGAGTTCTCAACTCTATTTCAGCATCTTAGAAACCTCAAAGTTAGAAGTCACACATTTAAATAATGTGGTTTATTTAGGGTGATTGCAAACTCACTGATGAAAACCACTGAATATGTGTGCACTCCCCCACCCCAGGGGTAACCATATAGCACATCACTAACGCAGTTAAGTTTTGACTTATTGGTGCACTATTTAGTTAGAATTGGACAAAGTCCAAACTTGTATTTAAACCCTGAGACGAGTCTCAATTCAACAAAAATATGATGAAGGGCCATGAGTCAAAAATGGGACCATGGTAGTCTAGGGACAATGAAACCTTTGACTACATTTGTAGACCTGGGGAACATTTAGGAAGAGCTGAACTAAAGATCTCCAGCATAGACCAAATAGGATGCTTAAGCCCCACACAGAAGTCAAAGATACTCAGCCATGTAGCAGTGCAACTCTATGGGAGAGGGCACAGGCTCTGGTGTTGGCAGTGCTGAGCCAATTCTGTGACCATGGGCACAGGGCTCACTGCCAAGGCTATAAGAAAGCCTCATCTGTGAAACCAGAGAATAACACTTCAGCTCATGTTTGGTAAACGCTAGCTGTGGAGGCTTTGTGTAGACCCTGGAGTGTTGCAGGAGATCTGGTTGAACTGTCACTCTACTGTGCCAATAAAGCCACCTGGAATCAAGGAAGATGGGGTAGGGAGGGGAGGGGGCAATTAACCATGGAGATGTTGGAGGACTGAGGAAGTCAGACGGAGAGGGACAGGAAGAAAGAAGGAAGGGCTGGGGGTATTGCCAGGACTTTTGGATTGAGAAGCTGTTGCTTAGATTTATTGGGGCTTTAATCTCAGTTTCTGACTCCCCAGTTTTTATCAATACTAGAACACTTTAGTAAATGCTATACTGGAAGCCTACAGTATCTGCTATCATTGTGTCTGTAGCCAAAATTCCCTGGTAGGAGAGGCACAGTGCACTGTCACTGTAGTCCTGGTGAAGTCTTTACACACACTTCCATCCCTCCTGTCTGTGCCCATATCTACCACAAAATCATCCATGGAGATCCAGGTCCCTGGCCCTGGCCCCTCTGCTAAGGCCTTAGTCTTGTTGCCTGTCTAACATCTAGCTCCCACTCAGTGTGTCCACTCTCTCCCTGAACTTCTGACTTCTGTAAGCAGTGTCATGAGTCTGGGTCCTTTACATAAGCAGAGTCATGAATTTGTTGAAGTGTTCCTGGCCTGACCCTTTCCACAGGGAACGACACATGGAGAGGGCCCCAGAGACAGAAGCAGTGAGCCAATGAGCCCACGGGGAGAGGTATAGACTCTCTTCATGTGGTTAATTAGTTCAGACAGAATCCTACTGAGTAAAAGCTGTATCCTCAACACCAGTCAAGGTCAGGAGGTTTTGTTAGATCTTAGGTAGGTCTGTCATTTGAAAGGTAACAACACCTTTGAGGATTCTAGGCAAGATTGCCATGAAAAGCTGCAAGGCTCACCCCCCCCACAAATAAACATGAGTCAACAGTAATTTAGAACGTCACAGTACGACACAGAACATGCACATTACTTCATCACTCTGTGCCTCAGCTTCTTGGTGGGCGAAATGATAATAATAGGACACATGTCCTATGATGGCTGGAAGCAGTAAGTATATTTTAAGAGAGACTGATGGGAACCATGACTGACATGTAACACTCACAGAGTCTCACCTGGACTTGCCAGAGGACACCCACCAAAGACAATATGCTTCATCATGAAATCCTCAAATCAATCCAATAAGATAAGTACAGTTATCCCCACTTCAGATGAAGGCTTGGGGGATTAGTGCAGTAATTATTCACCCAGAAAATCCACACAGAATGAAATTAAAAACAAGAGTGTGAGCTGAGAATTACTCATTGAATGAGGCCTTGTGTTGGAGTTGTATCCTAAAAGAAAATTGTATTTGATGGTCACCTTAACTATATCATAAAGCATATTTTATTACTATAGGTGCATTTTACCATCTTCATGCCTCCTTTTTAAACTTTCCATCTCTTCCTGCTCCTATAAAAGCCTACACAGATGGATATGTATGTGTCCAAGTCTGTGAATGCCATGCATGCTTGTGTGTTCTACGTACATATTGGAAAAGAAGCAGATTAAGAACATGGGACAGTAATCTCAAAGGGCAGTGAGGCATGCTATCAGAAAAATTAGCACACTGCCCATGTCTGGGTGTGGTATATTGAGTGTTTCTCCAGCTCTTGGCCTGTGAGAGGCAAGCAGAGAATCCAAGATCATAAAGATGTGAAGACTGCCATCTAGTGTTGACTCTCTTTCACTGCAGGCACACTAGACCAGAGGTTTCAGGGATTAACATGTAAAAGGAGCCAAAGGGACAGAACAAAACAGTTACATTTTTCAAAACAACTTGAAACTGAATACTGTAGGCCAAAGTCTGGGCACCAGGTGTAGACGTGGCTGTGTGGCTTGGCTCTGTAAGTCTCATGCTAAATGGAAGCAGTCAGTCCACTGTTGCAAGCCTCCCATTTGGAGCAGTCTCCTAGAACCCAGACATCCAGCAGGACAGAAAAGATCAGATTTAATGAAGCAAATGTACGGAAAGGTTTCCAACATTCCACTTGGTCCAGGAACTGTAAGTCCCCATTTTCAGTTCAAAGTATTCCTCATGATTTGACATGTATTCTCTAAAAAAGATAATCAACTTTGTGTGAAAACACACGGAGTTATAAAGCTGGGGAACCAGCATTGGACCCAACCAAGCCCTCTGAATGTGGGTGCCAGCTAGGAAGCCAGTGCAGTCTATGGGACCTCTAACAGTGGAGCCAGTCTTTAACCCTAGAGCACAAATGGACTCTGGGAGCCCAGTCACTATGGAGGGATACTATTAGCCCAGATACAGCAAGGAGGGTCTAGGCCCTCCCCCAAACAATATGACAGACTTTGAAGGTCCCTGGTGGAGGGCTTCACTATCCCTGGGGAGGAGTTGGTGGATGGGTTGGGGGAACATGGGAGGATGGAAGGGCGAGGGAATGGGGGGGATGGATATGTAAATATGAATAGTAATTAAATAATTTAAATAAGCCAGGCAGTGGTGGCACACTCCTTTAATCCCAGCACTCGGGAGGTAGAGGCAGGTGGATCTCTGTGAGTTCCAGACCACCCTGGTCTACAAAGAATTTAAATAAAAAGAAACACACAACTACTATAGAAATTCTCAGTATAGGTAACATTATAAGAGACCTAATGCTAAAACACCCCTACAAAGTGGATATAAAGAAGGTATGAACCCCACATAGGACATCATCTGAGAGAGCTGAGCGTCTAATGTCCCAGGTATATTTTCTACTCTAAGAAGCATTTGCAATTACCTCATCCCCTTCTTTTGATTTTTTTTCTAACACTTGTAGATGAAAAGTGACCATAGGGCAGCTCAAATGGGCTGAATATTGCCCACACCTCTCGGTGTTCATACAAAAGGGTTAGATAATCATCTCTAACCTCATCTAATAGTTTGCATCTCACTGAGATCACATCAGGCATCTCAAGTAATCAAATCTTCACAACTGCTCACACTACTCCTACTTTTATTCAAACAAAATGAATGTATATGGAATATGCAATGGTGAGGTTAAATCTCAAAGATACTAACAAGGAAAAATAAGCAAAAACAATATAGCTTTAAATGTAAAGGGATTTTTTTCTATTTGTATGCATGTGCATGTGAGTAAAATAAATTCAACAGTTTGGAGGTTTTTCATTTGGGAACTTATGTCTCCTGAATTATGAGAAGCCTCGGATGTAAGCCTGTTACCATGGGCCAGTGTTATCTGAGCACTGATAGTGTTATCAATCCCTTGGGCTGGAGGGCAGTGGTTCATCTTCTGCACTATCTGTTTAAAGGGTACTGGCAAATAGTGTCTGACCCCAGGCACAATCCATTCTCAAAGCATCAGTGTGATGGACTATACTGCAGACATGGTCAGCACACGCTGCCTTTGGCTTAGGTGCTGGAGAAGCTGATGAGGCTGACCTGACTTCTCATGATAACAGTGTTGGGCTGAGTGATGACAGTGGCAGAGATGGAATTGCCAAGCTTCAACTAAAATATAGCATGGCCTGTATTTTGTTTTTCAGTTTCTCCTAAATGATATAATTTTGCTTTTCTTTTTGCCATTTACGAGAAAAAGATGACACTATTTAAAGAACTTATATACTAAGAAACAAGAGTTACTGGGAATTTTCCCAAAATGCAAAGCTCTGGCTAAAGATGGCCTGTATTGTACCACACAGTAGGTTGCACACGATAACACTCTACCATCACACAGGAGCACCACTGCTCTGGGATGACTTTTGTATCATATCAAACACGGGCACAGAAACCTACAACAGCACATATGTTACCTCATGATTTTGCTGTTCATAGTGTACAACAGGACTTCCTGAACCACAATCTAGGAAGAACATATTCCCTGGCTTCCATGTTCCTCTTTCTGGCCTTCACTTTACCATGGTATCAGTATTTCCCAGCTGAGCCGTCCATAACCCACCTAACACAGACCTATCTTCTTACTTCAGGTCCACCCAGAAAATGCAGGTGCACCTTGTAACCCCCACAGGGGACATTTACGGGATCCAGAAATTAGGATGTGAATATTTGGGGGCCTCATTATTCATCTATCA